TAAAACAAATAGCAGTATATTTAGTAAGTATATTTTTAACAAACTACATTAATTATAAAAAATATTTAATTATTTGTTAACAAAGTGTCTAAAAATAAAAAATATAAGTTAAGATATTTACTGAAGAAATCATAAATAATTCAATATACAATCAGCTTTAATATAATAATAATGGTATGTGTTAAAATCCTCGATAAATAAAGAAAATGATATAGTTCCGCGAAAAGCAAACATATATATAACAATGTTTTAACTATCACCCCTATGAATTGATTACAAACCAGATACATTCTATCTATTCAGTGCATATTTATGTTATTACACTCATTTCAAGAACATAATTAGTCAAAGAATAACTGTTTTATTATTTTACCAGCTTAATTGTAACTTTTAATACAGTGTGATGACAAAGTGAATCGAGCATGCTCACTCCCATTTTTAAAATAAAATAAAACAGTGAAAATGAATTTATTCAAATTCTTGTTTTTAGAATTTGTAAATATAAACAACATATTTTGAAATACTTGCGATTTTTTTACCTAATATAGAGTGTCTTGAAGCAAAATAAACTTTTGTTTTTCAAAGAGAACTCACCTTAGCTACTGATATACTTAATTCAAAATTTGAAAGAATATTCTTTCAGTTATTAAAATGTATATATTAAAGAGAAGTCTATAACAATGATTTCACAAAAAAATAAAATATATGTTATATCAGACATAAAAATTTAATACACTTGGAATTTTTTTGAATGATACATATTGATTTATTAGTATTAATGATCAAATGTTCAAACAACTACAGATCTTACATCTTACAAACTCATCATCACAAACCTGTTATTATTCTTAGTACACAAAGTTAAATAACCCAAAAACTACTCATCAAAATTTTGATTTTGACAGGTTGACATTTTCAGAAATAATTTACAAAAGAAAAGGGAGGTTGTAATTTGAAAAACAGAAGTATGTACCTCTACAGGACCGTCATAAGTAGTAAAAAAATTTCAAATTTGGAAATATGGTCTCTTTAACTACATAAAAGAGTTCCAAGAATTGGATTTTAAATAACTGCTTAGTTCAAAAGAAGATAAAGGAGGTGAGCCTGCTTAGTGAATCATCCTGTACATTAAATGTTTACGAATCAAACCCATATATAATTCAGAAAATATAATTATATCTTTAGTTTGTAGAATGCAATTAACAAATTAGGTAGTTGAATTTACACTTTGTATCAGATGAAATGAATTTCTGCAATTGATGCGACAAGGAATCTCTACAATCCTGTGATAAATCTCTTATTGGAGGAGACCTGGAAACATCATAAAAGTCCGTATTAATCTCATGTAGTGCAATGTGTATAACGTAATAATAAACATTTTTAATGTTTAACGTTTTTAATTCTACTAAAGATAAATAAAATCATACATGGTGTCGAGAGTAATTTTTCAACAAACTTTAAAAAATGATATCACTGAATTTATGTAAACACGTCTGAGTTTCACGAACAAATTTCTGAATCTTAAATTAATCCATTACATTGTAATAAATTATACTATTGAGAAATCAACATTTGAGATTCAGGAGCTCTAACCAGTAACATGTATCACGAAATAAACTTAATAAAATGATTTTAAAAACAAACGTTTTAAACCAAATCATGAAAACATTGAAGATTGAACCTGAAAAACCGCAAATACTGCTACAAACAGTGTAGGAAAACTTGTATAATAATTTGGCAACATTGTATTTTGGTATCACGACCATGGTATTTTCAGATAGCACCCTTGAAATATTTATGCGGTCCTTAGATCATATTATACGGACATACGGTATAATATGATCTAAGCATGTAGTATTGTAATTTGTAGTAGGTACTGTGTAAACCTTTTTATAATAGGGTGACAATAAGATTCTATGGAAATACCACAAGATACTGCCATCCACTTGAAAAAACATTTTGAAAATAGTTTCACAATTAAACTGCCGCATGCAGCGATCGCATCTGCTAAGTGCTCACTGTTGTTTATTGTTACAGTGGACTCCGCTTTTAGGTATCACGGATATAAGGTTCAGTCGCTTATTAGACTCAAAATTGTCTGAGGCGGTCCGGACGTATCCAAATACGCTATACAAAATTCGGTTATAAGACTCAAATTTTGTAAAAATAAACATTTTTGGTCAAAATTTAGAAATAAATTAATATTTTTTGCTCTATTATGTGTGTATGTACAACAAATTGTATCGTCTTTCACATTTTCCAATATATTTCCGGAATATTAGTTTATAATTATAACTAAAAAAAAAACAAAATCACAATTTTTTTCCATAAATAATAAATATAGGTACATATTTTATAATTTTTTATTAATGCACATAATCATTTTTTACATGTATTGTAATTTTAATTTTTCTATCAGAATTTTTTTAATTTATTCAATAATACGTATGTCATATGTAATATGTATTAGAGTATTAAAATTAAATAAAAATATGTAGTAAAATCAAATACTCACTTTGTGCTGGTCCCAATGTGAGTATTATAAGCGGCGTCTACTGTATTATATAGATTTCAGCACGAACTAAGATTAATACAGAACATTTTTATTTTAAAACACTCATAACTAGCATTATTATAAAAAATAAAAATCCTAGGAGATGCCCTACATCATACCTTTTAATTTTATAATGGGATAATTCACTTTAATTTTTAAGGAGCTGAACATGATCTGCGGAGCGTAAAATTTGCCATGTTACGCTCTTGTAGGACGGATACAACGACATGTCTGTGTAACGTCATCTTATTAAATGTCGTAAAATTTGAACTTGTAGATGCTTATATAAAAGTTCTGTGAGTTTACTCAAATTTTTTTTTTAATTACAATAACAAAATAAACGGGAAGTACGAGACATCTGGCCAACCTAAAATAATATTTAAACAAGTATACTTGGATGACACCATAATAGATCTCCACTCAATGTCAATGCTTAGAATCATTTTTCGTATGCAATTATTTATTATTGAAATCAAATGTTATAATTGTTGTATTTTTGTTGTGTTATACCTTATACATCCATTACAAATAACATACGTCGGATACCCATATTGTGTACAGCATTCGGCAAAGGCAGTGACAAATTTTCGTCCATTTTTTTTATAAATTACGCTTATACCACCTAATGAGGAACCTTGTATGTATTACATTTTCAAGTTTTTTGATCGATCAAATAATTTTTATCGAAAATAATTAAATAAAAATTTGTATTAACAAATCTTTTGATGCTCTCATCCTGATAAATAACAAGTGTTAAAATATATTTTTTTAAAACGAGTAAGTGGATTTCGCTCTGTTGTACAATAGGTAGGAGGAGCTGTAATGGATGGTATTAAGTTTGACTTCAATGATAAAATATCATTGTATACGAAAAACGATTTTGAGAAAAGACGGTAATCAGTCTAGGATATTTTATATTGCTAGTAATAATTTATTACTTATTATTTATAGGGTAGCCAATAACAGTAGTGAACCTAAGGACCCCCCCCCCCTCCCTTGGCTAATGTCATTGTATTTATTTGTATTTTTCATATAGATCCTAGTGTTATATCAGGTTGCGTTGATTAATTAAAATATTAAAACAGATCTTCATCAACTTGTACATTTTTATCAAAATGATACCGAATGCTATGATAAAGTAGTTATAGAAATTAATTTATGGCATAGGTTTTTAAGAGAAAATAATATTGAACCCACACTATCAAAATGTAATTCTGGACATCCTTGTTGTTCTCCCTGTTACATCATGTGAAGGGGAACGAACCTTTTCATCATTCAAAAGAATTAAAAACTATTTAAGAAACATTACTTCTGAAAATAGACTGAATGGGTTGGCTTATCTTAATATACATGGAGAAGTACCAGTTACGGTGGAAGAAATTTCATATATATTGACTGAAGAAAAGGGGAGTGTAGAATTTACTCTTTAAATAATAAAACGAATGACTATATATATAAGAATTGAATTGGCATAATAATAATAATTAGTTGAAATCAGAAATACCTACATAGTAGTATTTTATAGTACAATGTAAATATAAGTTTAAAAAGTGGATGTCTCTTTGCTGTACACTAGGTATCTAGGAGGTCGCTGTAGTAGTGTAATGTAATGCATGGTATTAAATAATAAATTTAAATTTAAATATTCAATGATATCATATCATTGAATATGAAAAACAATTCTGAGCGGTAAGTCGGTATGTCAGTCTAGGATATTTTATACTGTTATTACTTATTATTAATATGGTAGCCTGTAAGTTGAATTAATATTATTCTTAAATTATCAGTGATGCTGGAAAAAAATATATACCTTCGTACAATTTGGCTGTTTTGGAACCGAATTACATCAAAATTATAAACGTAATTCTTTGTTAGTATGCAATTTTGTCAAAATTCCCATTTTAAACGCTCATAAAAAATTATTATGGACTTACACTTCACTTTTTGTTTTAATTTCCACTGACAACTTACAAGAAACGTTGTATTAAATTTTCGAATTTTTTGACGGAGTGAACGAAGAAATAATTAATAATAATCGAAAATTTCATATGCCTATTAATAGTTCAACATGAGTCAAAATATTTTGAAAATTGTGTGGTGCATAGAAAATACAGATATTAACATTCAGCGAAAATTGGATGTATTTATAGTCATTTGTTTTAGAGTTACACCAAAACCATAGTATGTCAGTAAAACTTTATTTAATAAAAAAACCAAAATCGATTTAGTCAAAAACCAGTTTTGCATAAAAATCACTGTTTTTCCTTAAATTGTTGTTTGTTTTTCCTACAGCTTTTTAACTGTTGAGAATTGTATTCTCTGAACCCCCAAAGCAATAACTAGATTCACTTTCCTACCAGAAAAGAATACCAGATACTATTGAAGAAAATCGAAACATTTTTACTGAACCAAAAAGTGATGGCAGACAAAAAAAAAATAAACATTTATCACTCTGCTCTGAATCTAAAATTATGGTGTATAGAAAATGCTTATATAAGCATTTGGTGAAAATGTCACGTATCTTCCGTAATTTTAAACTACTAATATGTACAATTTGTAACTATTTTAGCTGTCCAAAAAACTGGTCCTCAATCATTTCTATTTTCTAAGTAATTAATTTATTATTATACTTAGAAGAGTAAACTAAAAATAAAATTTTTCTAATACAAAAATATGCAATTGTCCTTGAACATGTGATAATTAATGTCTTTTTTTCAACCGATATCTGCTGTTTTTCATAACTTAGTAAGTAATCTAAATGATTTGAAAATACAAATTTAGTTGAATATTGAGTTGTATTTAACTAAACTTAAACATTCTTCTTTTCTAAAATGTCTCAAGTTCAGTTAACTATCAATAATTTAAATGTTATCAAATTTAACATATCACTTAAAGTATATACACAAATCACATTTGATTCAAACATTTGTACAATTATGATCGATGTAGTGTGATCACTGGATTAGTGATCTGACAAAACACCAATATTTTACTATTATATATTCTCACAACACATTCAACTAGGTGAAGAGTTTATATATATTAAAAATAAAAATAAAGTACATAAATTAACAATTGTATCTTAATTCAAAACTTATGGCAACAAAAGTCATATATATATATATATATATATACCTCTTTTCGTCATAGGGTAATAAAAAAAAATGTATCTACACTAATCAAACAACCTGTAAGCGGGTAAGTTATCGTCATCTACATCAGTAATTTTCAATGTTTATTAGATAGTCGTTTCTTAGCAGACAGTTGAATTGCTGAATTATTTTTAGAAATTGAGTTTTGTGTAAATGTTTCATTAGAAACCGATTTCTTATCTGTGTTAATTGGTCGTACGGTAACTTCCCCTGTTAGTTGACTAAAATTGGCTGCTGCTACATCTTGCAAATCATCTTCATTAATAGATATCTCAGATGCTTTTTGTTGAATTTCCTCTTCCATTTGGGCTTGTGTTGTTACATCCATACCAGACTCCTCAGCATTTTCACGCATTTGCATTGTTTGTGCCCAAGTAACATACTCCAAATCTTGCATTAAATGTGTAGCGGGGTCATCATCATCATCATCATCATCTTCAGATTCCAACTCTCCAACACCATTTTCACCATCTAAATGTTTATTGTGTTGTTTCATTAGCATATTATCATGTAGAATTTCAGCCATTAGATCATTATCAACTGACAACAACTCCACAATTTCAGTCTTTATTGGAGATTTTCCCGAAGTTAGAGCACATAAATAGGCACGTAAATCATTCATTACATTAGGTAGTATTTTTTTGTTCTTTTCTAATTCATACTTTAATTTTAACACACCAGGTATTATGTAGTCAGTCATCACCATCTTGTATGTTTCCATAACTACTCGTTGTTTAGCTAAATCAGCCACTTTTTCTAATGTTCCTGGATCATCATCGTTGGTGGTATCACGTGGTTTTCCAGACGCCAAAGCCATTTCTTTGGCTTTTAAAATCCAAAAAGCATCTCTCATAACTTGTGTGGCGCGCTCTCTGACTTCATTGTTAGCTGTCGCACTGACATCTTTAACAACGTCTTCAAAAATATTAAATATTTTCACCATAAGTTTCAACTTATTATCATCTAACATATGTGTCAACATAAATCTATAAACACAATGTCGAGATGCTTTCTTTGAATCACCTTCCATTGAAAAAAATGCCTTTAGCTCAGGGTTTGTAAAACAATCTTCAACACCACTTGCCCGTACTCCAGTATAGCCATTAAAATGAAAAATTACTTCAATTAGTTTACTTTCCATAATGTCTTTATTTTTGATCAGCAAATAGTTCACAATGAATGATGAAGTTTCTTGCCGTACTTGATCATCAGGATCCTCAAGCATGCACAGTAAAGCAAAGAAAGCTACATCTCTCAGTTTTATGTAGTCCTCAAGTATTAATCCAGTTAGTAGTTTTAGTGCTACCCGTTTGACTGGAACACTTTCGGCTTTCAAGCAAACACACATTTCTGGAATAGCTTGTTCCACTAAAGTTGTACAGCGTAAACATAAATCAGCTAAAGCAGTTAAAGCATTAATTTTTATTGATGGGTGGTATGGATTTTTCAGTATTGCTCCATATTGTACTATTGCTTCTTTTGCAAATTGTTCATCAACAATACTTAATTTACCTATTGTCAAGATAACGATAGTTTGAAGAGCTGAAGATACAGATCCATCAGTTTTTCCCAAAAAGCCTAGTAAATATTGTTGAAATTTATTTTTGATTTGTAAATGCTGTACTAAACCAATGTCACCCAATGTATATATATATCGAATAATAATCTCTTCATTATCTATATTTGTAGATGTCTCAATATAATTACAAATTATTTGAAACAATTTTTTTAAATTGGTATTTAGTTTTTCAGAATTATCTAATTGTAACACAGTGTACAAATCCAAAGATTTGGATATAAGACGAGTTGGTATTTTAAAATTAAACAAAAGATCTTCAAATGTGCTTAATAGTCTTTGTCTTGTTTCTATATCCAAACGTTTATGATTTAAAAATAAAATATCAATAGTCATTTGTGCATGTGTTAACAAGATGTTAAGTTCCGAAGGATTTTCTTCTCTAACAAACCATAAATCAAACTGAGTATCAAAATATTTAATAATAGGTGATATATTTGAAATTGTTAATTGATGAGATATTAATTGTAATAAATATAAGCTGTGTACAGTCCATTCATGATTAGAAGAACCCACATATGTCATTAAATCATTAACATTACGATCTGTAAAGAATCCATTGATGCGCCACTTTTCACACAAACACATCATGTACTTCCCTACTTTTTCATTTAAAACATTGTCTAATACACGCCAAGGTAAATAATCTAATGGATCATTACCATCAATTATTTTGGGAGAATATGGTTTGATATTGTTTAAAATAACTTGATTCATAGATTCAACAGACAATTCTTGAATTTTTTTGTCTCGATCTCCAACTAAATGAATTAATCCTTTAAACCAATACTTAAGCACATCTTGATTATCTGGATATTTTAAAAGCAAATCAGTTAACCCAGAAACCGCCACTTTTCTGATGGTCATTGCATTGTCTGAACAACTACTCACCAATAATGTTAAATAATATTTTTCCATGAACTTATGATTTATAAGAAATAAATTACACAAAATTGTAAGACTTACACGTCGAATATAAGCTCGTTCATCACGAGCATGTACATTTAAGATCCACAATAAAATTTTGGCCCCAGGATAAATATTTAAATTGCTAATATTATTTGGATCAAAATTGGCCATATTACTTTCCAAATATTGATAAAAATCATGGAAATCTTTTTTGCAGAATGGTGTGTTATTTATATTATCAAATTGTAGGTAAGGATCAACAAGAACACGTTTGACTAAAGCAGTTTGATGTGCAGTAGCAGTAGGTGGACCAGCTGTTAAAGTTGCAAATAATGAGAATGCTTTAGAACGAACTGTTAATAATAAATCTTGAAATTTAGAAAGAATAACAGCCACAATGAATTCATGTTTAGTTGATGGCATAAGTTTTAGTAAAGTTGGGTCCTCAGGTTCAATTTCTTCAGGTTCTGAAAGTAATTTGAAAAGAGTTTCCAATGCAACGATGCGTAATTTAACATCAACATCATATACCAAACGTAAAAAATAATATTTAATTTTAATTCGAACATTATTTGGGCATAATCTCCAAACATCTAATATGATTTGAAATTGACGGGGTCTTAGTTCACTTCGTTCAGGTCCTCGATGTAATAAATGTTGCAATAGTATTTCTAATACACCCTCAAATGGAGATCCCAATTTTTTAGTTATTTTACGAATAAATGATAAATGATGATCACGAATTGTATTAAATTGTCTAGTAGTCAATTGCATTTCACGCTGTCCATCAACTAATAAACCTAATATCATACAATGCATAAGTTTTTTACCTATAACAAGTGTTGATCCACAGTTGTCATTAAACATATCTGTCAAACCTGAGTATGCATTGAATGCTAATGTGCCATAGCTTAAGTTTTCAGTAGGCACTCGTTCTAAAATATTGCCAGAATTACGTTCTAAATGGGTCACATCTATCATTATATCTACAATCATATCTAAAGAGCTAATTTCATCAAAGAATTGAAATCGTTTGACCATTATTCCTATAGATCTCACAATAGCCAATAAATCAGTCATCAAATCGATCTTTTCATCTTCTTCCAATTGTACATCATCGCCACTATTTATACCTCCGGTAAAATGTAACATGGCGATACATGACTTCACTAGCTCTGTGCATTTTGTGAGTATGCTAATATGATAAAATCCAATATTCTTACTACCCATAAATGTAGATGCTAAAAGAAATAAACGTGTAGCAGACAATCCATTTTTCCTAGCACTAGGCTCAGCCATACATTTTAGTCCATAATGAATGTAACAATTGAGCAAACAACTCAATGGTTTAGGATGTACATAACAAGAATCATCACTAATAAACTGATCCCATAATATTAGAGCTGATGGTTGTTGTAAGTAAATGTTTAATAACTCACAAGAATCATTTATAATTGATGGAAAATCAATATCTGGCATAACAATTGATTCATATGATTCGGGAAATTTGTAATAACTGTAATGGCTACTCATAACTTGGTCTACATAATCTTGAGATATGACACCTAATTGAAGACGAGTAAATATGTCAACTACATCACTCACATCAATTAACACTCGAGCCTCTGAAATAAAAATTATAATTTCTAAGTAATTTATGATTATGAGTATTGTAAACTAAATATTATCTGCTAAGGTATTACATACAGCAAAAAAAACTTTGTTTCAGTTTTAAAAATGAAAACAGTGACAATTTAAAAAGTAAAATTTAAAAAAATAATAATAATAATCATTAGGTAAGGTAAATTAAAAGGTGGGACAAACAAACCTAGAAAAAAACCGAAAAAAAAATTGGTATAACACCTTGGCTAAAAGAATCTAGGAAAAAGAGCCCCAATATCAAAATAAGGTAAAAAAAGCCCCGTACTAAATACATGATTTTTTTTTTTTGATTCGCATGATGACATATTATATTCATAATAATCATTACATTTATTTTATTAATTATTAAATTATTTTATTATATTATTATGCATCTAATTTATTATAGGTACTAGTTGGTACATTTATTTGATTAAAAAGGAGTTACATAAAGGTAGTTATTTAAAAAAAATTATATTTAGCATATGACATTAAATATTAACTAATTATATCACAGTTAAAAATCATTCCATAAATAACATTCCTTAAGATACATTACTCTTATAAAATATACAAGTATAATTGCAATCTACAATAATTGTCATTTATACAAAATTAAAAAAATGTTTTAAGTTTAAAAAATTAAAAAATGATTTAATAGCATTGATTTATAATGTTGAGGCTAACTGCCATTAGAAAATCTAATAAACTTATATCATTATTGCTATAACTACATGAACGAAAAAACCACATATTTAAAAATAATAAAATGTTGTAGATACTAAGATGGAGTCTACAATAAAATATAATACCTTCATAATTTTTAAGATAAAGTCAATATCAATTACTTTTATTACTATGTAGGTACTTAAAAGTTTTCTATTTCAAATGTATGTTTTCACCTAAATAATTTAAAATATTGGGTTTATTATTTAATTAAATATTATTATGATATAAAAGTATATAAAAATTATACATTATATATGTAGTAATAGATATATGGCTATTGATAAATAGTAATATATTGTTTAAAAATTAAAAATGATGAAACGTATACTTTAGTAAAAAAAGTGTTATGTATTTAGTTGGTACCGGGCATTTTCCTATAGGAGGGATTTTTTTTACCATATTTTGATATTGGGGCTTTTTTTTCCTAATACAGGTTAAAAAGCTATAGAAATAAAAGCACAAAATAATGCCATAGAATTTTACTACAGCATAAAATTGTATGAATCAAAGTATGAGAAAAGTAAACTTTATCTAAAAATATTGCTTGTAAGTTAAAAAATAAGCGATACACAAAAAAAAATTGTTAATATTATTTTCTTAATTAAAGTAAATTATCAAGTAAAATTATGGTTTTTTTTCCATTATTTTATATTGGGAATCAAGTGTGTTTGTATAAAAAAATATAGGAGATGTAAGACCAATACTGAATATATTTTTATTTTTTTGATATTAAAGTTAATAAGGATTTAATACATATTTAAAATATATAAATTATACAAGGTTAAGGATCCTTATCTTTCAAGTTAAATAATTATATAATATTTATTATTTTATTAGCTAAAGTAATTTTTCAAATTATAATTAGGTAGAAAAAAAACTGTTTACCAGTTTGTAATGAAGACATTTTTTTGGCGCGTATTATTTCAATTAACTGTTTAATAATGATCCATCGTCATCGGTATTCGTTAAATTATGTTTACAAATAATAATTAAAACACCGTCATGAACCATTAAATTTTCACTGATTTCATCATTAATAAAAAAAATTAACAGTTAGAACTTAGGAGGCAGTGATTTATAGCATACTAAAGTTTATATTTTAATAGTTAATTCCACGAATTAAGATATACAGGATACGGAACGAAACCTTATCAGTTGATGACAAAAGTTTCTCGTTCAAATTTGACACATAACGATAATAATCGACGGTGGATAGATTTTGTATTATCGCGAAAAGATATTTGAATTCGTGGGTACTATTTATAAATCCGATATGAAATCATAAGTTATTTTACATTTGTTAATTAGTATTTCATATTAAGAGGATGTCAGCGCACTATTTGTTTTCTCTCTTTGGTCCACGCGCAACATAGACAAAACGGATTTACGCAGAATCATTTTTTCTATGTTTTTAAGTAATCTTAGAGTAAAATCACCCATTACAAAAATGATAGAGAACAATATTTTTGAGGGTATGACATATCGATTTGTCTAAATATTTTCTCAAAACAATTTAAACATCATTTAAATGTACAACATTGTTTTGTTTATTTTGAAAGTCGAATACAAAGTCAAATTCCAATAAAATATAAAATCAATATGACATTCCCTCAAGAATATTATTCTCTATCTTTTTTGTAATGGGTGATTTTACTCTAAGATTATTTACAAACACAGAAAAAATGATTCTGCTTAAATGTAGTTTGTCCATATCACGCGTGGGCCAGAGAGAGAAAACAAATGGTGCGCTGACATCCTCTTAAATAAAACTCTTGTTGTAAAATTGTCTTAACATCAGAACAAAATGGTTCTCCGTAGTTCAGAAATATTATAATATTATCATTATGAGCAATAATTACGTAGCTAATTATAGTGTACTGTGTACACGGCATTAGAGTTTAGATAGTATGGTTGCGTAACGAAATGAGGAAAAGCCATGAACGTTCTTACCAAATACCTAAAACTATCTTAAGCCGTGATTGTGTGCCATATTGTTCATCATCAACTTTTCGAACTCTATTTGGTGTTCCACCTCTTTCCAAAGTTTTATGGGAAAGAGCTATAGGTGTTGAATTAAAAAATAGTTCAAAAGTTTGTCCTATTCATTTTCAAAATGAAGATATTGTGGATAAGTGGGAATCTGACACTGGTGAAAATAAATATTCAGTAAGAATTTATATTTACAAAATTTTTTAGTATTAATATACACTTAACATTTGTATTTAATTGTTTTGATTATTGGTTGAATTAGATATGTTTAAAAAAACCAAGGTTGGTACCTGGAGTGATGTCAAAATTAAATATCTTAAGGTCTTTTGAAAATGTTCTCATATTGTATTCAAAAGAAACTGAGATTTCGACTGATGAATCATTTATTATTTGAGACATCATATCTAGAGTTTAAGTATATTTTAATATGCATTGTGCTCACCTATATTTTTATTTCGTAACATAATTGTCAACCTTATTATACATGTATTAATGTACATTATATTATTTAGGTAAATTCTGTGCCAAATGTAAACCATACTTTTCTTATGCATGATATTATCTCAAAAATAATCATTACCTACTAATTGGATATCTGATATTACCTCAAATAATTTGACGAATCAGTATACTCAAACATTTTATAAAATGGGCCTCCTTGATGAATGTTATTTTCGTATGGTTGAAAAACAATTGGTTATTACCGCTGGTATCTACATTTGTTTCTTTATTTCATAAAGAATTTGTATGTCATATATTATTTGTTTAAAGAATTTTTTTATTTTTAGGGTTAGAACTTATCATGCATGTGCTACATAAAAAACTGAGTGCTGATGAACAAGAACAATTTTATCTACCAAATTTTATCCACCAAAGACTGGAAATTGTACTATTTCTGGAGGTTAATAAATAAAATATGTTTTTTAAAACTGTTTATTATTTAAATATATTTAATTTTTAGAATCGGATTATGTACCATATATTAATATAGCAGACCCCAAAGAAGTTATCGCTGAAAATAGTTTGGAAGTTAGAAATGAAAAACTTACCAAGTTAAGAAATAGTATAGATAATATTGTGGAAGAAGAGTGTTAGGGTGTTGGGATATAGATGATGTTTTTAGGGATAAAGACTTTGCCGAAAACACTACTTTTCAGTGTGTTATATTATACTTCATAGCTGGGTAAATAATTTAGTTTTTACATTTAATTTAATACTACAAAGTTGTGTTTAACTTCAATGTTATTCTTTATTTTTGTAGATACTTAGCTAGATGCATATCTAAAAAAACTGATTGTGAAGTGTGTTCATCTGGTATCAAAATTCAAAAACCATACTAATAATAATAAGACTTCAAACTTATCTGCAGCAAAGCTTGTCAATATAAAATCATATGGTTACCTTACTCATCCAGATCATTCACTTTTTATACTTCTTAGACAAATTGAAAAATCGTTTTTAAAACACTGTAACAGTCAAAATGTATTTGAAGATACTATTGAAGATTTTTTTAATGATAACTATCTTATACCATTCCCTTGCGATGAACATAAAGTAGAAATGGTGCAATATATTTTTACATCATATAAAACAATGCGTATGAGACAGCATACCTATTTATCCAACCAACAAAATATAGGTAGCAATAGATAAAAAAAAAAATTATCAAAATTAGTTACCAAATAAAGCAACACCTTATATTATTGTATTGTATTTAATGTTTTAAAATATATTTATATTATATTATTGGTTTGTTCACATAAATATGTTTGAATAGTCAATGAATTAAATAGAAGGTCATGGATATCTAATAATTTAGATCCAATATTCAAACTTATTTTTGAAAAGTATCAAAAGTTATACAATATACATTCTCTTTTAATCATATATATTAATTTACTCATACATTTTTTCAAAAGAAAAGAATTATAATGTTAATTGTACATTTATACAATTGCACCGTAATGGCGTAATGTAATACTTAAAGTATAAAATATATTGTTAGAGTTTGAAAATTGGCGGGATACTATTGACCGATAGAAAACTGTGAGAGCGCTAGTAGTCTAATTTGGAAATTGAGAATTTGAGAACATTCCAACTTCAAATTAATATTGGTAGCGACGTTCGTTCCGTATTCTGTACATTCATACAATTCGTGGTTAATACTTGAAAATTGCGAGAATATTACTCTATGGTCGGGACTCGGCTATCACAGTATCACGATCGTCAAGCGGGAATTTTAAGCGTCACCGGCGTCCGACATAACACAAAAACGGTTATAATGATAATAACACAACATTTAAAAATATGTATTATAGGCCATAGGCCCGGTTTTTCAATCCTATTTATTCATCGAATAACAAGAGTTATTCGACAGATAAGAAAAAATAACTAATTACCGGTTTTTCAATGTCAGATTAAGTCTTATTCGATAAATAAGTTATTAGGTACTTTTTGACTAAATAACAAGTTATTCGACGAATAAATGTGTTATCTAAATGCATAGCTGTGATAACCAAGTTGTATTTTGTTATTATTATAATAATACTAAACCAGCCCCTACTTTTTATATTTACTTTAATTTTGTATAAATGAATAATGGATATATTTGGAATATTTTATGAAGACGATGATCAGGAAATCGTCGAATTCTTAAATTATCAACATCGTACATACACCATACGTATGAGAGATCATATAATACTTTGAGATGATCATGATTTTAGAATCAGATTCTGAATCCCGAAAGTGGTCGTTCTTCAAGTTTTGGAACATATCATTATATCAACGACCAAATATTATCTTCATCAACCGATAGGTAAAATGGTTTACTATAACTGCCCCCTGAAGTATTCAGTGTTTAGAAAATATTGAATTAAAAAATTTTAGTATCAAATATTATTTATAAAATCGTAAAAAATATGTAGTTAAAACTTTATGCTACTGGTCGTGAAGTACTGGAGGAAGTGAAGAAAGCGTGTGGCACCTATTTTTAAATTTGAATTTAATGATGAGATCCAAATTAATCTAGTAACATAATATGTTGAAGAAAACTCCGTGGTTGAAAAATTAGGAATGAGGCTTAAAAAAATAAGTACCTCGTAAGTCACCCTGTTTCCCAATGGAAATGTGGTCAATATACTGATAATTTACTCAGATAGTAAGTACATCGTCGAACTGTCAGAAAAATACCAAGTACTTCCGTCTTCCGATGCAGTAGTGAGTAGAAGATTATTGGCATTACAAAATGTCAAAATTCATCGCTTATTATCAATACTTCCTGCAATACATTCTTATCATAAAAAACTGAAAAACATTTATAAACATTATTATTTTTAATTTTTTACATACTACAATAAGGGCAAGTGCGGTAGTACGTACTACGTAGTAGTGCGTAGTACAGTGCAGCGACCCGATTTATGTATAAAATGGGTACCTACTACCTTGACGCTAAGTGCATAGCATTTAGCTGCATTCTTAAGTTATTATTTTTTTTACCTTATTTAGTATCGTCAATATACTAATATAGTAACATATAGTAATATTATGTGATGTAATTAGCTATACGTAAATATAATATTATAGTTCATATGATTATTATATCGCATTTATAGTATCAGCACAGAATTGTACAATACTGAACACACCACGTGGGTTGATCATTTCACTAGACCGCCGGGCGCCGGAGCCACGGTATATTCCTGCAATTCTAAATATGTTCGTAGTATGTTTGTATCTATTCTGTGGTTTCAGACACAGAGTGAGACGAGTAGACAACAGTAATCGAAATACAATAAAAGACACAGCCAGTACTCTATGGTATGGCCGTATACGTATAGGTATATACTGCGTACTGCATAGTCACTGATGTGAACCAACTACGATTTTTATGATTTATGAATACCTATTACTTTGATATACTTACCCATCACCTGACGCCTATATAGGGGTTGAATGTAAGGTGTCGGTGCGAGGAAACATGGATTCATTATTGGCGCAATATTTTCATAATTATTTTAGGCATTATAGGTAGGTATTAAAAAAATTGACAATTTTATTAACTGATTTCTATAGTTACTAAAACAGAACCTCCAAAAATT